GGGGGGTGGGAGGGGAGGGAGGGACCGACCGACCATCTGTTAGCCGGCTGTGTAGTGTGAGAGGGGGAGGGAGTTGAGTCCATTATTTGAATGGACATTAACTTGGCGACTGTATTTCTCTATTTCTCTTAAGTATTAATTGTGTGCATGTACCATCATAAAATTAAGATGTTATTTTTACTACAACATAGGTATGTGCCTTCAAAAAGTGGAGTTTGGGGGTCGGGCCGGTTTCTATTGGAATTAATCCCATATGTTCTGTTGTTCACTTAACGCGGATTTCACTTAACGCGGGACCCTCTGGGTTCAATTGACCGCGTTAAGTGGGGTACAACTGTATATATATATATATATTTCATGTAAATCCACAATGAAAACGTGGATAAGATAAATCTTGATAAAATCACACGGGAAGATGGAAACAACGGAGTACCTTAGCTTTCGTCTTTATTCAAGACATCTTCAGAGGCAACTGAAGATGTCTTGAATAAAGACGAAAGCTAAGGTACTCCGTTGTTTCCATCTTCCCGTGTGATTTTATCAAGATGTATATATATATATATATATATATATATATATATATATATATATATATATATATATATATATATATATATATATATATATATATATATATATATATATATATATATATATATATATATATATATATATATATATATATATATATATATATATATATATATATATATACATACATATACATATACACACCTAGACCCCGACTTACGACGGGGTTAGGGACCCAAATCCAGGTCGTAAGTCCGACATAGATAAAAAAAAAAATTAATAGAAAATCTACAATGAAATACAGTACAGTAAAAGTAATGAATAATGATGAATGGATACAGTACAGTGAAAGTAATAAATAATAAGGAATGGATACAGTGTGACTGAGCACTTAACCTTTAATGTAGTCAGCTGAATGCACATGGGGCCCCCATAATTTTCTAATTATACATGGAGACTACATTAACTGGAAACGTTTCGGTATAGAAAATGCGTGTCATTTTTTTTATCTATATCTGAGGCGGTCGTAGTCCCGACGGTCGTAAGTCCACGTAGTCGTAAGTCGGGGTCTAGGTGTGTATATATATATATATATATATATATATATATATATATATATATATATATATATATATATATATATATATATATATACAGTTGTACCCTCACTTTACGCGGTTAATGTAACCCGGAGGGTCCCGCGTAAAGTGAGGAACGCGTAAAGTGAATAACATAACATATGGGATTAATTGAAATGGAGTCCAGGCCGATCCCCAAACTCCACTTTTTGACGACACACAACTATGTTGTAGTAAAAATTTTATCTTAACTTTATGATGGTATGAAAAAACAAGTAATATAGAAGAGGTTAGGTTAGGAAAGATAAAGGTTAACATAGGAAAAATAAAGGTTAGGTTAGAAAACTAAAAATTTGGTAGAAGAGATGGGTCGGCATACGGGGATGGAGGCTGGTTCCGAGGCAGAGGGCAGATTACTGGCCCTCAGGTGAATCACCATTACTAGGTGCATCACCATCACTATCAGTTACAGTTGTCAGGGCTTCCCTGACAAATCCCTCAAAGTCACCTTCACTGTCACTATCACTATCACAGAACAATGGATGCACTATACACGGTGTGGCCTGGAGGGATGAAACTGCCGCGGCTAGGTCAAGCGTCGTCTTTCCTCCCTCCCTCCCTTCCCCGGGTGGACACGTCATAATACTTTAAGCCAGTTACAGCTAGCAGCAGAGGGGGGTAGGGATGCATGGCCAATCACAGGTCTGATACGTCATATGACGTCAGTGATAACGCAACAAAGACACACACTGCGCAACCTTACTGCGCCGCTTGCCCAAGCGGAGGGAGAGGCAGGCAGGCAGGCGGGCGGGTGGGGCGAATCTAAAAATAGCGTCGCACCGAACACTCTCCGCGTAATGGGGTTCACGTACCGCGTAATGTGAGCACGTGAGGTTCTGGCAAGGCACCGCGTTAACGTGGAAACGCGGAATGCGGGACCGCGTAGATATACATATATATATATATATATATATATATATATATATATATATATATATATATATATATATATATATATATATATATATATATATATATATATATATATATATATATATATATATATATATACACAGTTGTACCCCACTTAACGCGGTCAATTGAACCCAGAGGGTCCCGCGTTAAGTGAAATCCGCGTTAAGTGAACAACAGAACATATGGGATTAATTCCAATAGAAACCGGCCCGACCCCCAAACTCCACTTTTTGAAGGCACATACCTATGTTGTAGTAAAAATAACATCTTAATTTTATGATGGTACATGCACACAATTAATACTTAAGAGAAATAGAGAAATACAGTCGCCAAGTTAATGTCCATTCAAATAATGGACTCAACTCCCTCCCCCTCTCTCACACTACACTGCTTGAGGGGAAAACCACTAAATTTTAATAAATAATACCTCAAACTAAAGTTAGGATAATACAATTGACATTGCTGGATTCCTTGTAAGACCAGGAATATTTTGAATATAAATGTCATATATTTTGCACAAAAGATAACATAGTTACCTAGAGAAAAAATTTTATCTAAAAATTGTATGTTTAATGCAAAATATATGATGTTTATATTCAAAATGATCACCAAATTATAAGAATTCCAGCAATGTAAATTATATTCTGACCGGGTAATTTGTATGAATTTTATGAGCTAAAACAAATATCTTCAGTTAATAAAAAAAAAAAAATCTTCACGACACTATCTGTCAATCAAAGTACCCCACCTTGCCTCCCCCCCTCTTCCAACCGCGCGGTCAGTCCCAACCCTCCCCCCCACCCCCCACCAATCCTCCCTTCCAGAGTTTTTAACATTTAGTATTAAATAATACCTCAGATTAAAGTTAGGATAATATAATTGACATTGCTGGATTCCTTGTAAGACCAGGAATATTTTGAATATAAATGTCATATATTTTGCACAAAAGATAACATAGTTACCTAGAGAAAAATTTTTATCTAAAAATTGTATGTTTAATGCAAAATATATGATGTTTATATTCAAAATGATCACCAAATTATAAGAATTCCAGCAATGTAAATTATATTCTGACCGGGTAATTTGTATGAATTTTATGAGCTAAAACAAATATCTTCAGTTAATAAAAAAAAAAATAATTCTTCACAGGGTAACAGATGGTCGGTCGGTCCCTCCCTCCCTCCCCCCCACCCCCCACCAACCGTCCCAAGGAGATGTGTGGGATAACCACTAAATTTTAATAAATAATACCTCAAACTAAAGTTAGGATAATATAATTGACATTGCTGGATTCCTTGTAAGACCAGGAATATTTTGAATATAAATGTCATATATTTTGCACAGAAGATAACATAGTTACCTAGAGAAAAATTTTTATCTAAAAATTGTATGTTTAATGCAAAATATATGATGTTTATATTCAAAATGATCACCAAATTATAAGAATTCCAGCAATGTAAATTATATTCTGGCCGGGTAATTTGTATGAATTTTATGAGCTAAAACAGGCAGGCAATCAGGCAGGGTGGCGGGTGGGGCAAATCTAAAAATAGCGTTTCGAGCCGGACACTCACCGCGTATATGTGGAAAAAATCCGTGTTAAGTGAAAGTTCAGCTCTGGCGAGGCACCGCGTAAATGATAAAACGCGTTAAGTGAAACCCCGTTAGGCGGGGTAATACTGTATATATATCAGTGAAGACAGGCCTTGAAGGGCAAAAAACAATGTCATTCACTAAGTAATTTGAAAGCAGAAGATATGAGTCACTAATGGTGTAGCGACTTCATAATAGAAGACACGCTGTGGTCGCCATGCTGACCAGACCGTATAAGAAACTTTCCCAAACATGATATCTGAGAGACATAAACAAAATAAGAGTCACTCGATTTCCTCACTGTGCTAAGATGTATAAGTACCGTATATAAAATGCTCTTGGCACTTAGTATTTCAGTTATTACAACACAAATTAGCGGAGTCTTCTTTGTGTGTATTTACAGCTGATTCGCCAGGCAAGACGATAACTGTAGCAATGCGTGTGCGTCTGGGGGTTTTGAGAATTGCAATTAAATGCCAGGTAGCGACATGTCCTCCTCATAGTACACATTAAGCATTTATTAGATGTTTTAATTGCCTGTATGTTGGTATGGCGAGTTATTGCTAGGCATTAACATACCTAGGTATAAGCTAGACGTCGCATTCTGGATTGAAAAAAAATTTACCATTTGATAATCTCTTTTTTTTCTATTTTCTCAAAAACTATTGGTCATATAAGAAATCTGATACCGCATTGGAAAGCTCATAAAATTCGGCTTCTAGCAGTGTATAGTATTTAAAATTTTGGCTCATGTTTAATCGAAGTGACAAAAAATTGCTATATACGTGTATTTTTCTTTGGGGGGAGGGGGAGGGTCTTAAGTTGCAGAGGAATTAGTTACAAGGCCAAAGATATATGATTTATGCCATTAAAAACAAGATTTCGGGGGAAATTTATAAAGCAAAAAAATATTCACCATACGTTGTCTCACCTGCTCTGGGGGCCTCAGAGATGTGATCTTGGAACTGGAAAACTTAAAACTTATCTCATGCACGAGAGGGTTAATTTCCCTTTCATTATGTAAATGCTCTCATTGTAGAAGTACCTGTACTGTATAGCTGTAGAATCTTCTGAAACAATTTTTCTATCCTCCATGGATAAATTTTAAGTCTTTGTCTGGAAACATAATGGTTTTGTTTATTTCTACCTTTTAGAAATAGTGTATTAAGAGAGCTCATCTCATGGTCACTAGGGGTAATGACATGGGTCTTGACAGTACATCAAGACCCATGTCAGCAAAATTCTTTTACTCCTAAAGGATGTTTAAAAAAGTGATACCTTACTCTTGTTATTCATTTAATTGACATGAAGCTATTTTGGCAGGCCCAGTTGCAGTGACTAGTGCTTATGTACCAGTTGTGGCAAACCAACAAGGACCAGCTATTTCCCAGCTATTGGACCTGGACTCTCAAAAGTGCATTGACCAGAACCCAATTGATTTGGACATGAGCAATATCAACTCGGCAGAGTTACGGTCTTTATTGCCAAGTGACAGTGATTTTAATGTATCCATGGTAGATGCACATCTTTCTGCGAATCTCTCATCCAATCTCAACATCATAGATCCCCCAGCACCATTCAATAAGCTCAACAGCAAAACTAACTTTGGTGCCGGAACACCTGCTCCATATATGCTTAACATTCCTCCACAGCCTAAGCAAGAAACTGGAGGTCCATCTGGCTCTGATAGCTTAAATAACCTGACAAGTGAAATTGAACTTCTTAATCAGCTCTCTTCAGCACGCTGATATCTTTTTTATGGCTTTTTTATGTGAAAGTTGCTTTAGACTGGTTCTCTGAAGAAGTGCTATGCTAAAGATGTTACAAAAAGAAAAATCCATTTTAGCAATTGATTTGAAAAATATAAGGCTACCTAAATGTTTCACTTAATATGTAAACCTTTTCTTGATAAAGATTTAAATTGTGTAATGTTTTAACAAGAGGTTAATAATGGGACATTGACACTGTACTGCAAAGATCACGATGTCAGCAGTCAAAATTGTAAGCATTTCACCACCATGACATCATGTGTACAGTAATTGTATATACACTATATAAAATCTACAAATCATGAAAGTGTTATTCTGCAATAGAATGCAGGGGACATTTATTTTTGTCCAACAATTTTCTGCAAATAGAATGTGTGAAAGTTGCATTGATATAATTTTTGTTATGTTTGTTGAATCAGATGTATGTGTATATAATAAACTGTAGTGTCTTCATAAATAGATTGTGAGTGAAGACTACCAACTGCTTTACCCTAAACTCGGCAGCAATCAGCCAGTGTTTGATGCAAGAGGTCACGCCTAATGTATCTCCTGTTGTTATTTTCATATTGAAATATGGCTTCCAAAAATGTTGCCCGACTCAACTGAATTGTCATATTTCAAAAACAAGGATATGAAAAGGACCTCAAATACTGTCTTAACTTGCACAGGATAAAGTGGGCTATGCTTTGGTGCACAACATTGACTTAAACATAGAGATACAAATCTTGCAATTGTTAATATTTTGTATATACTGTACTGTACTTCCCAGGAGTTAAGTAAAACTTTATTCCTGTTTTGCATTACCTGATATTAAAGAAGTTATAACCTTGTACTAAAGGTATTTTGTATGTCACAATGTGTGTACTCCTTGTTGAGTGAGATATCCATTAACTGTAGCCTGCATCAGGTGATATTTCTTTTGCAGTCTTACAGTTTTTCTCTATTTTGGGCTTGCATGATCATTTGATGTCTATTTTTAGAATTTTTATATGTTTTGGTATTGCTGATTAGGTTATCAGATCCAGTTTGTGAAACTGATACTTACTATTGTTACTGTTGTGATCTGTGCACACCATATTTGTCATTCTTTAATTATAGATTTTTTTTATAAAGAGCCCCATTAAAATTATGTTAAATACTAATGGTAATTTTTTACATTTGATTTGTCAAATTTTATTTTACTTATAAATTTTATGAAATATTTATAGATAAGATATACAATATTGTTAAGTTTTCCAAAGTAGTTATATTGAAAGAATTAAGTGGAAGAATTATTGTCCAGCTGTATGGTCCTCTCAGTAACAGTGTCTATCACAGGGAAGAGAATGGGCTTCATTTGTTAAAGATAAATTACTTTTTCTCTCTTTTTCTCTCAGCTTGACAGCATGAAGATTAGAATAATCCCTATGATAATTAAAGGTTTTAACACAAGTCCCTGCTGTGTCTCCCTCAGTTATGTAGATTTATACACTTGTTTTGTTTTTCTTCATTCAGCTAATCTCAATTGACCATCAGTCCTTTACTCATTAAGTGATCATATAAACACTTGGGGGTGTAATGATGTGTGTTACATCCACACTCTTGCATGATTGTCTAAGCCCATTATAATTTTGAGAAATTCAAAAATTTAATTTTACACAAGTACTTTGCACTACAAGTGAATATTGGTTCAAAGTCATCTTGTTAAAGCTTCAAGTTTGATTCATGATTTTCCAAAATTTTAGGAAATTTAAACAAAAGCTATGTACTGCAATTGGCCTAGTTTTTCTCTTTCATTAAATTATTGTTATATGTACTGTATTATTGGAAGGTACCTTGAGACAGCTTTTACATATTGTTGATACAGAGTTAAGATAAGTTTCTTAAAACTTTAGCTGTGGTCAGCTGACAAATATAACATAGATGTATAGACAGAAAAATTACATTTTGTGAAGAGTCATACTTCCATAATTGTATCTGAGGGCATCTCAAGTCTTTAGTTGATTTGAATTTTTTTTAAAGCTGCATTAAAAACCATTAATAACGGTTTTGGAATTACAGTCTAGTCTATTAATTTTCTTTATTTTTAATGTTATGAAATTGTAATTAATTTTTATATATGAGAATTTGAATGTAATCCATGAAAACTGCCATATTGGCTTGGCCTTGGCAAAACTTGTGTTAAATTTTAAGTTGGCTAAAGAAGTTGTTGGAAAGCAAGCCAACTTCCCCCAATCAAGGCTCGGTAAAACTTTTGTGTGAAACATACATTATAGGGACCTATAGCTCTTGGAGAACTAAAATCATGTTAATTGCTTACCACTCAAAATTCCACAATCATGCCAGATAATTATTCCCAAGTTCATCCTTAGGTTTACTCCACTGTGCTACTAGCATGACTAATTGAATTTCATTCCTAATTTTGATTGTCTTCGCTATCTTTAACTTTGGCCAATTTATTTAACAAGGGTAAGAAAACTGAAATATTGCCAGTGTTTGCACTCTTTTAATTACTTGTTGCCAGTGGTGGTAAGTTCAATTTATTCTAAGTGCATGTTACAGATCCCTAGGGGTCCACATTATTGGTGTTTAATTTATGTAGAGAACTGGGTTGTCATGTATCTCTTAGTATTTGGCCTTTAATGCAATATCCTGGTTTTGTAGAAGGTTAAATCCTGAACCTTGTTAGTAGGCAGAGTACTCTGGGCTTTCTTCAAAATAGATTAATCTCTCTTTCCATCTCATATAATAGATCTCCACTGGAAACCTCTGGTGTCTTTCAGTAAAAGAAAGTGATATGCATCTTTACCATATAAATGATCACAGTGGAGTATGTATATAGCCAGATGCTTTGTTCAGTCTACTCAAGTATTGTAAGGAAAATCTACTTGGTGAAATCTAAGGGTTCTCAGTACTCCCAACATTACTGACCAGAATTAATTAACATTCTTGGGTTTGGGTAGGCTCTATCCCACGAGACACTCGGGGTCTGGCCTGTTACTCACCTCACCACACTCGACTGCACCACACGAGAGATAATTGTACACAATGAGTCATAGCAAGCTTGTTATTTGAGATAAAAAGGTGAGATTTGTTGCATTAACTTTGTAAATAAACTATCTACAAACAGTTTTTATGAGTAATCGCAATAAAATAATTATTTCTATATGTAAGCCTGAGTAGAACACAAAGCTTTTGTTTACGCATAATGAAAATGTTCATACATCACTACATGTACAGTTGGTCCTCACATTAAGCGGTCCCGCAATCCGCGTTTCACCGTTACCGCGGTGCCTTGCCAGAACCTAACATTTTCACATTTCGCGGTCGCGAACGCCATTCCGCGGAGAGTGTCCGGCGCGACGCTATTTTTAGATTTGCCCCACGCGCCACCCGCCTGCCTGCCTCTCCCTCCTCCTCCCTCCTCCTCCTCCCTCCGCTTGGGCAAGCGGCGCGGTAAGGTTGCGCAGTGTGTCTTTGTTGCGTTATCACTGACGTCATATGACGTATCAGACCTGTGATTGGCCATGCATCCCTACCCTCCTCTGCTGCTAGCTGTAATTGGCTTAAAGTATTATGACGTGTCCACCCGGGGCAGGGAGGGAGGGAGGAGAGACGACGCTTGACCTAGCCGCGACAGTTTCATCCCTCAAGGCCACTCCGTGTTATCGCGCATCCATTGTTCCGTAAAATGGCTTCCGCCGGACCACCACCCCAGAGAAAAACCTTTCCTTAAGCTACGAGGTGAAGTACCAAATTATTCAAGATTTGGAGAAAGGAACACGGCAAGTTGATCTCGCGCGCCAGCATGGCGTCAACGAATCTACGATCCGGTCTATAAAAAAGGATTCAGCCAAGATAAAGGAGCACATGAAGATCACAAAGTCTACAGGTGCTTCTATGATCAAGTATTTTCACAACCGGGTGCTTCTCAAGACAGAAAAATTACTTGTGAGGTACTTGGTGCGTCAGGCGCGACGCAACATGGCGGTCGACACGCGCTCTGTGAAGGACTACGCACGTGAACTGTACATGGCAGTGGCACGAAAGATGGGAACTTCAGAGCCCAAACCCTTTACTGCTTCCTCTGGGTGGTTACAGAGGTTTAAGATCCGGAACAAGATCACCAATATAAACATTGGTGGTGAAGAAGCGAGTGCTGATCGTGCTGCGGCTCGGGAATTTCCTCCGTTTTTACGTGAGATTATGGAGGAAGGACAGTACACCGACGACCAGGTGTTTAACATGGACGAATCTGGTCTTTTCTGGAGAAAACTACCTTCCAAGTCCTACATTGTGAAGAATGCCAGCAGGATTCGGGGCCGGAAAATGCAGAAGGAACGCATCACCGTCCTGTTTGCCACCAATGCCTCCGGTACCTGTAAGCTCAAGTTATCGGTGATCCACACAGCCCGCAAGCCGCACGCCTACAAAACCATGGACATGACCAAGCTAAATGTCCACTGGCTGACAGCACGTAAGGCATGGATGTTCTCTACACTGTCCCTCTCCTGGTTTGATGACTGTTTTGTTCCCGATGTAAAAAAATTCTGTGAGCAACAGAATGTCCCATTTAATATTTTGTTGCTGCTGGACAACGCACCAGGACACTCGCCCCTACTGTTAGATCGTCACCCCAACGTAAAAGTGGTCTTCCTTCCTCCCAACACTACGTCTATATTACAGCCCATGGACCAGGAGTTGATTTGCAATGTGAAAGCTGCATTCTCAACAAAAAAATTCCAGCTCCTGAACGACTACACCAACACCAGGGAAGAGTTGCGTGACCTGAGTGACACCACCACCGATAGCAAGAGCGACGAAGATGAGGAACAACGGTTAGAACAGCAAAAAATATTCTTCAAACAATTCTGGAGAATATTTAACATCAAGAAAGCTGTGGACATCTTGGTGGAGTCATGGGATCAGCTGTCTATTGCTACAATTCGTCACGCATGGAGACATGTGTTGCATGGAATACCAGGTGAGAGGAGGAGTCAATCTGTGACTGGTGAGGTTCAGAATGTTGCAGTAGCAGTGGACCTTGCCAGAGAAGCTGCGCAGACTGTTACAGTTCCAGGCTTCTCCGAGACCACCAACGACGACATCCTGGAGGTGATCAGAAATCCTGAAGTGACTGCCGACGAGATGTTGGAAGAAGAACACGTCAGTGAAGAGGAGGAAGAAGGTGCGTCAGTCTCCGAAGAACACAGTTTAAGTCATAGTGATATTAAGTGTGCCATGGAGTTTGCAGAGAAAATTAAGTCCGTCCTTTCCCGCGACAATGACGATGACCGCTATGAAGTCTTCCATAACCGGCTGGTGCAGGCTATGGAGCCGTACATCACGGTGTATCACGACAACATCAACGCCAGCCGTCAGCAAAGCATAACAGATTTCTTCACCCGCAACCCACCACAGCCAGCCCAAGCCAGTGATAGTGGCAGTGAAGTTGACTTTGAGGGATTTGTCAGGGAAGCCCTGACAACTGTAAGTGACAGTGATGATGATTCACCTAGTAATGGTGATTCACCTGAGGGCCAGTAATCTGCCCTCTGCCTCGGAACCAGCCTCCATCCCCGTATGCCGACCCATCTCTTCTACTACCGTAAGTGTTCCACAAAATTTTTAGTTTTTTAACCTATTCTTTATTTTTCCTATGTTAACCTTTATCTTTCCTAACCTAACCTCTTCTATATTACTTGTTTTTTCATACCATCATAAAGTTAAGATAAAATTTTTACTACAACATAGTTGTGTGTCGTCAAAAAGTGGAGTTTGGGGATCGGCCTGGACTCCATTTCAATTAATCCCATATGTTATGTTATTCACTTTCCGCGTTCCTCACTTTCCGCGGGACCCTCTGGGTTACATTAACCGCGTAATGTGAGGACCAACTGTATATACCTTCGTTATTTCATGTGATTGCATTATGAACCTTATTCCATTATAAAGCGTATATATTTAGCAAAAGATAATTATAGAAGAAAAGTTGTGAAATAAATTAATACTTCACTAGGATATAGGTAGTGGTGTTAATTTTGCATTCTAATGAGCGCGCCCAGGCCGAGTACAGATCAATAATTTTTTCCCTCCGGGTGCAAAGGGTAATTGTACATATTGAGTCATAGCAAGCTTACTACTTGAGGTAAAAAGGTTGGGTTTATTGCATTTGCATTGTAAATACATTATCTATAAATAGTTTTATATGAGTAATCACAGTAAAATAATTATATCTACACGTAAGCATGAGCGTAACACAAATTGTAGTGCCATGGCTGCCACTCAAGCTCCCAAGCTTGAATAGTCCTCACTCAAAGTTTCTATATTTTTTTCATAAATTATACATTATGTGTTTATAAGTGCATATTATTTTTGAAATTCATATGAAATAATAATTGTAAATTATTAGTTGAATGTAATGCATAAAAATTATTACATAAATTTGTTTACAAAAACAACTGAATTTCTGTACTTACATGCTGTTGGAGCACTTGGTGATGGTCCTCTCCAGTCCATTCCCCTCCCCCTCTTCTGTGCCCCCCCAAAGATGTTCAATGGGGAGGAGGG